GGAGCCGATCTTCCAGCGCGCGCGCCGCACCGGCTACATGACCGGCTACATATCGCCGGCGATCTGCCGCCTGGCGCGCCTCTCCAGCCTCACCATCGCCGACTGGAAGGGAATCACCGGCGAGATCCCGCGCTGCATCACAGCGCTGCCGTTCCTCCGCATCGTCGACCTCATCGGAAACCGCCTCTCAGGCAACCTCCCCGCGGACATAGGGCGGCTCCACCGGCTGACGGTGCTGAACGTGGCCGACAACGGCATCTCCGGCACGATTCCCGCCTCGGTGGCGAACCTGACGAGCCTGATGCACCTGGACCTCCGCAACAACCTCATCTCAGGGCCCATTCCGAGAAGCTTCGGCAGGCTTCGGATGCTAAGCCGGGCCTTGCTGAGCGGCAACCGGCTTAGTGGGCCCATCCCGGCCTCCATTTCGGAGATTTACCGGCTGGCGGATCTGGATCTGTCTCGTAACCAAATCTCTGGGCCCATTCCGGAGGCCTTGGGTAAGATGGCGGTGCTATCGACGCTGAATTTGGACTTTAACAAACTCTCTGGGCCCATTCCGGTGAGCCTTTTTAGCTCGGGAATAAGTGACTTGAACTTGAGCCGTAACGCGTTGGAGGGGAATATTCCGAACGCGTTTGGGGTTAGGTCTTATTTCACGGTTCTGGACTTGTCGTATAATAAGCTGAAAGGGCCCATACCCAAGTCCATTTCCTCTGCTTCCTATATTGGACACTTGGATTTGAGTCACAACCATTTGTGTGGGAAGATTCCCCTTGGATCTCCCTTTGATCATCTTGAAGCCTCCTCCTTTGTTTACAACGACTGTCTCTGCGGGAAACCACTCAAACCTTGCTAGTTCCAATGTACAATGGAAACACATATATATTTGTAATTTGCCATAGCCCATAGGATAATTACATTAGACTCGTCTGTTTGTGTGTTGCCATCACTCATGTCTCATGGTGTTGGTGTGGTGATTGCCAAATAAAATGCAAGTTCCCTTCACGTCCACGTCTTTTTTAATTTGCATGAAACCACTCGGTATCGCTCCAAATTTTACGTCATTCCTTCTCTTCTTCCTTTTCGTTGCAATCATTTCCTCCCCGACTCGACTCGACTCGATTACTACTCATTCAATGTATACAACTATACATCGACCAATCATTTTTTTTATTTTTTATTTTCATCGCTTGTACATTTCACGGAAAACAATTCAGTTGGAACCGACTAAAATCTCTTCTTTCTCTAAATATTTAATACTTTTCAGAAGTTGAAGTCAAGACTATTAATTAAGTTTTATTAAATTAACATTTACGGCTAAGATTAGAATTAAAGTAAAAGGTAAAATGGAACCAAATGGAATGAAATTATGCAAGGAGGCTGTTCCATTATTTGGATAATGTGTAGGAAAAAAATAATTGAATAAAGAAATCAGATGAAAATGAAACATAGAAATCCAATTCTATTAATTAATTGACGGAAAATTAGTTTTTTACAATATATTCGTTTAATATTTTTTCTATAAAAACATTTTTCTTTACATTTTATGTGTTTGTCTAAACTTTTTTGTTTAAATAAACTGTTTTCTATTTTTTTTAACAAACAACTCCTATCTTATTCTTAAATGATTATTTAAAAAAAAAAAAACTTGTTTAAAAACACTTATTTTGGATCCATACTGAATTAAAATTTAAATGGATAAAAAATGAGAGAGATGGAGAGAAAAAGTAAAAAAGAACAAGAAAACAATAAATATGACCAATGATGTATAGAAAAAATAGAGAGATATGAAAATAAAACTTAAGTGTAAGTAAAATAGAAGAAAGAAAATCAAAATACTCGTGTATGTTATCTTAACTCTACCACTGATTAAAGATTGTCAAGATAAAATAGTTATTTTATTTTTAATTTAAAATTTTCTTTTATTTTTTAATTTAAACCAAACAATTTCATAATATTATTTATCTAAAATCAAACAATCCAATTTTTTATATATTTATTTCACGTCTTTCCTCAATGCCAAATAGAGCATAAATGAGAAATAAAAAACGAGATTTTTTTGTAACTGACACAAATTACACCAAATAAAAAATTTATTTTTACTGAATATTTTATTTTTTTAATCCATTAAAATTATAATGACGATATTAAGACTTGAACTTAAAATTATATACAATATCAATATTTTATTATATTTATAGATATTAAAACATAATTAGTCTATTTTTTAAGAGAGAAAAAACTATACACTAATATTGTAAAATAGCCTTACAATGCCATCTAATTATAAATTACTATGATCCTTCGGTTTAAATACACAATTTTTTTTATATATAATTTACAAAAATAATCCTCACTCTCAATAAATGCATTATTTTTAATTGTGATAGTTGAATGATTTATAAAAAAAATAAATTGAAAAAATAAAAGTAAAGTATTATTAATTTTTAAGCATTTTTCAGATGTAGAAATTATAATCATTGTACAATCCGGTCAATATTATTATAGGATATTTATTCACTTTTACAATAATTATTTTAAAAAAGTTATATTAATAATAATAATTTTTAATTAATTAATTATATAAAAAATAGACTGATATTTTTGTTGGATGATCATTAAACTATTTGTTGTTAATATCTTTTTATATAACAAATGATGATTATATCGCTATCTTCTTTAAGCAGATGCAGATCTCACAAATGAAAAATAATGCTGCCGACATGAACTTAAGTGCTATCTCACAATCATTAAGTGCTATGCCACTCAATCGTAACACCTTTCTAGGTTGACTTTTGCTTACTCATTTATTTGAATCATTAAAAAATGTGGTAATTTTCATTAATACACTTTTACTAGTAATCAATTTTTCTTTGGAACTCAATCTAATCATCATTCTTAATGATTAAAATTTAATACTACTATTAGTAATTTTTTTCACACACATATATATATATATATATATATATATATAATATTTTTTCAGGAACCATTAGTAATTTTTTTGTTTCTTAATTGTTTAATCATTATTCTTAAAATAATTCATAACAACACCATTTATAATATATATAATGTTTTATTAATTGAACAACTTATAGATCTAACATTATATTCATATTTTAAAATCTTTTTAGATAAATTACATGAAGATATCATCGAAGACAAATTAGTTAATGTGTGTATTAATTTTTTCTATAAAAAAAATCCCATTTCTTTGATAAGTGTAAAGATAGTAATAAATTGAAAAAAGAAACTTTAATTTAAACTTTTAAAATAACAAACCGAAAAGAAAAGAAAAAGTATCCACCAATACAACAGATAAAAAAACGAAAGAAGGAAAATTCAGAAAATAGTACCCTTGAAAGTTGAAAAATAGACGATCAACTAAAATTAATGTGTGTGCATCAAAGAACTTTATTAATCTAGGTTATTAATTGAGAGGAATAATTGGTGAATATTTGATTAATCTAGAATTGTTAGTTGAAGGTTTTTATTAATCTAGAGTTATTACCTGAAAAGAATAATTGGTGATGAGGCAGAGATGTTAGATCCAAATGTCTCGACTCAAAATGATAGCATAAAGATATGACCAAAAAGTAAGTAAATGATAATGTTGGATGTAGGGACAAAATGAGTGGATAAGAGTGAGAGACGCCAGACACCGCACGTGCTGAGAATGAGATCACTAACATCGTAGCTGGAGCATTCAAGAAACGAGCATATCAAAGTGAAACCATCATCTTCATCATTTCAAATCAATATTCAACTATTTTTTAATTTTTTTTTTTTTTATAAAAGTTATATTGTGTTGTAATGCATTGTTATGCCAATCTCTAATTTTGAGTTTAATTTTGGTAAATGTGAGATAGTAATTTTACTTTATAAATTAATTTTATAAAATTTAATTTAATTTAAATACATATTTTTTTAATATAATATCGAACTATTGTAATACTTATTTTATTATGCGTATTGTACCAACCTGGCCAAGTTAGTAAATTCGACACGAGCTTAGCCAAGTAAACAAACTCAATTAGGAGACAATAATATCAGAAAGTCACATCAGCTTATAAAGGTTAGTCATTCACCAATTAAAAATATGATCTTATTACTATGTTACAATTATAATAAAATTCTAAAATTGCCAATGTACCAAAAATGAGAAATAATCCTAAAATTATTGAGATACACATATTATATATATATACATATACGAGATATCTATGTTATCAAATACTAATTTAAACATTAGTCTTTTTTATAGGTACCACTCTTATCATAAAATGACCAACATACAAAGTAAAAGAAGTTTACCAATCACATTAGAAAAGTCATGCCTAGACCAATCTCAGGTGATAACACGTATTGGTAAAAATAATATCTACAACACGTATAGTACATCATGCAAGTTTTATTCTTTCTTAAATAAGTTGACTGAAATCCACTATCTAATCATACGGATAGATAAGATTTTGTTGTCTGAAGCAAATTCACTATATTAATTTCCAGGTCTCAAAAAGTTAATTTTTGACTCATAACCTCGATGAGAAAAATAAAACAAGAATAGAAATGATGTTTATCAATTCATAACCTATATTGGTCTGGTCTTGTACTCTCCTTCTTTTGCCATTTTGGTATTGATATCTGTTATTAGATTCCAAACAACATTCTCTTACCTAAACATCAACTAAGCTAAATTGTACTGGATAAAAATTATTGTATTTACATTTTTAAAAGTAAAGTATAAGTCATCATTTTAGTTTTTATTTAAGTGTTACTCTCTTTCTTAATTAGTCATTAAAATAATAAAATCATAAATATTATCTAAAATATTATAAATTATGCTACATAACTTTCGGAGTATGGAAAAATATTTCAAATTAGTCTTTCAATATTATAAAATATTATGTTAAATACCAAATTAATGAAATTTCAGTACTTTTAAGAATGAATTACTTTCATTATTTTAGAGACTATTAAGGAGAGACAATAATAATTCAGAAACTATAGATTGGCAATTTATTCTATTTTTAAATCTTCAATTAGAAAATTTTAACTTAATTAATTAAGATAGAACAAATTAAACCTTTGCTAGTCGATATAATTAATGATCCATGTATTTTTAGTGATTTTTTTTTTCTCTCTTATTTTTTATTAAACTTTATTTTTATTATTTTTTTCTTCTATTAGAATTGTACAAACTCCCATGATGAAATTGTTTTGTACTATTTTTTTTGTTTTAATAAGATATATAATTAGTTATCATCGAATCAATTCTATAAATATAAAATGATATTTTTATTGTAACTTCATACTTAATTTCAAAATTAAATCTTAATTCTTAATTAAGAAGTATCTACATTGAATACCAACAACATGTATAAGACATTCATTTATCAACCAACTAAAGTACAATCTTATTGATTTTTCTGTGGCTCATATTATGCCACATAGTTGTAACCTGAACCATATGGTATCTGAATACGAAATTAAAACATGTACTTGGACACCAAAAAGTCCAATAAAGACGCCACGCGAAACCGCAAAAAAAATTATTGGGTTAGGCACTACGAAAGTGAAATTTAGGTACGATCGAACACATGAGTAACTACTGATATTTATTGACATTCTATAAAAAATTTATATTTTAAACATCTATAAATACACTCTGTAAAATGTATTTTTAAAAAATATTTGTATATTATATAAATATATCCTATAATATTTCACATCGAAAAAAAATTATATTTTAAAGAATGCTTTCATTAACTTGTATTTTAAAAACACTGACTAAGTAATTAATAAATAAAAATTTATGTTAAAAATATAGTAGATTTGTATTAAAAATCACTGTCGGTGAAATGTGGTAATTACACTTTTTCATTAAATATTTTTCAATTTTAACTCTGATGAATGTCCTCTAACATTCTTCTTGATAAAATGACTGTTAACTTTATATACGTTGATATATTTATTTGTAATTCATGAGATGATAGTAGAGTAAATACATTAATGTTCTCACATAAAAAATGAAACATTTATTGTCCCTAACTCTTAAAGTTGCCATAGTACCAATATACTGCAAATAAGCCTCCTCAGAACTGGGAAACTCATCCATTTCATGCATCTTCATCAAAACCTTTGACAGATCACAGAATCACTTGGCAGTATGCTACGCAAATTAAACACATACCAATAATTAAATAAAAACAGTTTGATTGTATTGTATGGTTCTTATAAGGCTATTATAGATGACACTAGATACACATTCATTCTTATTTTTCACTCTCAAAACCTCTTATACTCATTGACATGAGAGTCATAGTTCGTAAATCCTTATAGGTGATTACTTGACTTGAAGAAGGCTATAGAGGTATCTCCTAAAGATTCTCCTCCAAGTGATCACTGTCATCACCTCATATACTCGTTGACTTGGATCATTCCCTTCTTCAAAATAGATGGAATTTAACGTATCCGTTTCTAAGGATGAAAATGAGAAGGAAAAAAAATATTGTTGTGACAGTTCAATAGAACGATAAACTCGTAAAGTAAGGAATTTAGTCTAGTTTGGATGTTTGACTCATTTTGATAATAATGCACAAAACGAATCAAACATCATGTTAATCATTGAGTACCATAACCATAAGTCCACAACTAATTAATTGGTGTTAAGATGAAACTTAAAACAGTTTTATTTCAACTCCTATATCAAGTGTACAGTGGGAGTGGAGGACCTAAAAACCTGTATCAACCTTTAATGTTGAAATAAACCGAATAAGACTCATCTCTGAAGGCGAATAAAGGCTCTAGAAGAAAATTTCTGTTTATCCCTTTGGCCATAAAACTGATAGGATTATATTTGCTTATTCCTCTCTTGGCAATAAAACTTGCTTCTTGGTTAAATATGGCATCAGAACCAGTCTTACAAATGAGTTTCACTCCTCCACCAGAATGCAAACCACTATGCACGAAGCAACCATTATGGCTTTTGGATTCCAAAGATATGGTTTCATTTCGACCATCAAATCCTGGTACCACAACAAAGACAGAAGATGATCCACTCGAGGAAGTGCCTACAATTGTAAGAGGATGTTGTATTCCTTGGTGAATCACTCGCATTCCCGCATGACCAAATGGTTCAAACATCACTGATTTACCAATAGCATCTGTCAATGTGGTAAACTTTCCGGAAGATTTTACTTGGATCACTCTAAAAGTTGCATGAAGAGCCAAATCAGTTCCAGGCTCAGGTAATTTTTTCATTGCTAATGATTGGTTTAACTTTGTCAAACAAGAAGTTGACTTTGTAGAGTCTTGAGAAAAATAGAATAATCGACTATTGTAGGTGGCTGGAATTGGAGTAATCCAGTTTGCTACAGATGCATTTGGTGCACCTTTAATGTCCCAATCACCAGTGGTGTGACCAGCAAGAAGATACGGACCATAAAGAATTGCTTGAATAGAGGCATATTTAGACCTGTCATCTGTATTTGATTCAAAACAATATCAATAAAGTAAACAATTATACTTTCCATAAGAAATGGGCACTGTGGCAGAGGAATAATGGTAATTAACACACATGAAATAAATATCTTGTGATTGTAAAGCTACCTTTTATGGCCTCTGTTCTGAGGGTAATGGGCAATTGAAGGCTTAGCTTGTCACCAGCATTCCATTTTCGTGTGATTGACAAAAAATTACCTACAGGTCCAGTAAGTTACAAGTGTTAATTTTTACTTTCGCTATGTATATATGTAATATGTATTATGTGTCAATTTATATACTTTCTTATAAACCTGCACACAATCTGATAGTTAAGGTGAAATCTCTACATTTTGGGGCTAAGTAAAGAGAGATTCACACCTGGGGTTGGCAGAGATAAAGTCTCATTATTTAAAAGGCCTTTTGCACCATCCTTATATGTCCAAGTTGGTAGTCGGAAGTTTAGTGTAGATGAAGTACCAGTATTCTGCAAACGTAGATAGGTTTTAGAAGACTACGAAAAATGTCAAGGATTTTACACTTGGTAGCTTGTTGATTTTTTTTTTAAGAACATTCAAAAAAATTAATAAAATAAGAGAAGAAATAAAAGTTTATTAAGCAAATACATATTCCAGTGATAAAGAGATCTTTTAGGTAATAATAAAAAAAATATAAAAACAGATTCAAAACAGATAATATCTTACCATTGTGGAGTTGTGTGAAATAATCTTATAAGAATAACAAAATTATAATCATCTCCTTTTCATATAAATATATCTTCTCAAACAAATACCATAAAATAACTCCAACAATATTCATATCACTCTTTGCAATCACAAGTTCAATAAAATTTAACTAATTAAATTGATATAAAGTTGATATATAGATGAGTTTCTTCAATCATATAATGAATCCATGTTCAAGTAATATTTATCTAGATGTAGCATTTTAAAAATAACAGAGTTATAATCTTCTTCTCTTTATATAAATATATCATCTTAAACAAATAGTATAAAATAATCCTAACAATGGTATCAGAGTCACAAGTTGAATTTGGTTGTAATCAGTGACGGATCCAGAAATTTTAGATAGTGGGGGCAAAATTTATTCATATATTTGTAATATTAAATTTTTTGCATATAACTTTTAAAAGTATATATCATAATTTATATCTAAACATATATCATAATTATTTTTTACAAGTTTTTATATCTACGATTATGATTAAGAATGAAAATAAACTAGGTTAAACTATGTTATATTATAATTTAATAGGTTTAAACCTAACTTTCTTTAAAAATACATGTCCTAAATATAACTTATTTATCTATCATAGACATTTTTTAAATGTTTGATTAGAACTACAATCTTAAAGACCTACTTTATCATATTTTAACACTAATAAAAACATAAAAATAAATATGTTAAATCTTATAAAAATCAAGTTTGATTTATTTATGATATAAACATATTTTTAGTATATCATATAAATTTTTAAATGATAATTTAGTTTAAAACATTTTATAATAAAAATTATAAATAGAACATAAATCTTCTAATCTTTTCTATTTTTATTTTTTTTAATCAACGTATACAATCTCACTATCTTTACTATTTTGATCTTTTTAATCAACATATACAATAAATTGAAAGTATAAAAGGTAAACATACATGTTGCAAATTTTATTTTATCAAATTTTTTTTTAATATATCTCATATTTATATATATATATATATATATATATATATATTATAATTACAAAAATTTTAAAAATAATTTATTATTAAGGAGTATTTTTTATCACATATGAGAATTAATCTCCTTCGAAAGTTTGACAAATATCAAATAAATGAATACTTTGTCCAAATTTATATTTTATACATATGATAATTTAAATAAATAAATATATATATATATATATAAAGGTAGTGGGGGCAAGTGCCCCCACTCTACTCAACCTAGATTCGTCCCTGGTTGTAATGAAAGGTTAGGTCCCTTGTTCACACATATTCCTTGGATTTGGTTGTAATGAATGATTGGGTCCCTTGTTCACATATACTCCAATGGTAAAAAAAACCTTTTAAATGATAACAAAAAATAAAACTGTGAGGATTTAAATCCAAAACAAACAATATTTCATTGTTGTAGAATTGTGTATGAAATAACCTTACAAAAATAAGAAAGTTATAATCTTCTCCTCTTCATATAAATATATCCTCTCAAACAAATATCATAAAATAACCTCAACAATGTCCATATCACATTTTGTAATCAGAAGTTCAATAAAATTTAACTAATTAAATTGACATAAAGTTGATAGATCAATTTCTTTAATCATATAATGAATCCATCTTCGAGTAATATTTATCTGGACGTAGCATTTTAGACCGGCACACTGTTATATGCATTTTTTTAAAGTTGTATAAAAAAAAGACTGGTGGTCAAAATCCTAAAAGAAACTAAAGTTCAAGCAAAAGCATCCATCTTTTCTGTCACTTTTATTCTAGCTTTACCAAAAGTATTGCTTAGCTATAACAATATTAGACTAAATAAAAAATAAAACTTAATATTTCTTTTCCACAATTCAGACGACTATGAATTATTGATCACAAAGCAATAATGATCATACACAAACTATCCACATAACATAATGTAACAACCACCTTAGTAGGAGAAAATGTAAATGACACTCGTAGGAAAGGATCCCATGAAGCAGCTGGAACAACCGTCTGATTAAGGATAATTTGTCCAGATTTCCAATTAAATGAGCTTGATATATACTGGATGATGTAAAGAGTAGGATTTTCCCCTTCCTCTTCAAAATAGATAGAATCTCCCAGCTTTGAGAATGATTCAATTCCTAATAATCAGGAAAAGGAAATTGAGAACATATTAGTATGAAGTAGAGAAATGATATGGTATAGTTTAACACTTTGGTGCAATTTGTATAGTGTGATGGACATAACATAGGTGCACCTGTTCCATAGCAGCACCAGAAACTATCAAACTTGGTTCCCCAACCAAAGCTAGTTTTAGCCTTGGAAACCCCACGACCTTGTGGAAGCATATATATCATAACTCCAGGTTCTGTTCCTCTTTGAATGCTTAGTATACCATTTGTTAAGGCACGCTCATAATAGTCTGCATATGATTCCTTTTTGGTCCATGTAAACAGGTGCCGTGAAACCTGAAAATTTGTTTTTATTTTTCTTTTACCTAGAGGACAATGTAAAAACTTAAACATAATATAACAATAAATTAAGGTTCATTTACGTATTTTTAAGTCTTACACGTGGACACTCGCATATAAACACAAAATCCACAAAGACATACTAATGTATGTTGTGGTAATATATGTCCACAATTTTTCAACTGTCTATAAAATAATTGTGAAACCATTTTATACAATCATCATTTTTAGCTTCCCAAGCATTGCATGATGACTAATGGCCTACTAAAATAATGACTGGTTGTACCTTCAACATATTGTAAGTTGTGCACGATTCCTGATTCTCAGTTGATTTTAGGGCGTCTGCCATTCTTTTTGGATCACCCCTATGCAGAAAATGGAAGTAAACAAGTTTTTTTTTAGAAGAAAACAATAGTAAAATCTGTGAATAAATATTTACAAGAAGAAATAAAATATTTGCTTTTACAGATTCAGTTATTCGATGGATAATTAATTGAAGTGCATCGGAAAAATTTCTGAAACTAAAATGCTGACATCTTGTTACCAAAATTCGTTGACTGATGTCCCTCCAGTTGCATAAGTATGAGAAGAGTTAACAAGATCCATAAAGAATGTTCCTATTTCCTAACACACCAAAAACCAAGAGCCAACATCGAAATTTAAAATAATAACAACAAATCTTAGTAGCTGTCATCGACAACATTCATAAAGCAGTTTACCTTATAAAGTGGATCACCAGTGACTTCATAGCGTACTTGAGATCCAACAACCACCGGGATATGTGTATTAGCATGAAAATCAGCTATATCATTAGCCTACATAGAATTTTAGAACTCTCTAAAAATATATTTTAAAACCTCCTAAAACTACACAAATAACGCAACCTGTGACAATAGGAACTTGGTAGCAACTTGTGATGATGAATAAATATTGTCACTACCTTCACTGCAAGCAACCCTAAAAAGCATGGTTTGTCAAAAAGGTGGGCTAGCAATAGATGCCTTTGATCTCCCTACATATATTAAGTATTAACAAGACATATGAGTTTACAGCTAACTATAAGTACCATGTACAATGAGAACAAGAAGCTAATACTTAGTCAAACAGACTGAAACAAAGTAAGAACTAAACATATACATATAACTGTATAAGAAAAGAATAATTTGTCAATTATGAATTAGAATACGTATCTGTTAATGCAATACTTACATCTAATACGTCTAGGAGTCAATAAAAGTATAGTTACAGAAACTAAATGGACTAATTAACGTACCGTTATGCTGTATAGTTTGTAAAGGAAATCATTCATGCCTCCAGTTTCCTCATTCAGTGATTGATAGTGTCTACTTACACTAAATTTTGTTATAACATTGTGTACTCGGTTGTAAAAGTAGTCTACCATCCATGTCACTATTTTTAAAGCTTGAGGATTTCCGGCTATAGAATGTTGATCCAAAAGGCCATCCAAGATCTGCCAAAGTTGACCAGATGAAATGCCACAATATTGAGGCCAAAAGTAGTTACATAGTGAAATCATCAAAGTCACCTAACATTGTACCTTGTGAATGGTGTAATAGGGAGCCCAAACATACTTAGTAGCTTCAAATCGATCAAAAAATTCTGATGGAAATGCAGAGAGATATCCTGTGCCAATTTTCTCCTGACAGACAGAAAGATCGGCAACAAGAGCTGACATTTTCTTCTTCAAGGTATCATTATGTGTGCTGGCCCACATTAAAGCTGATGCACTCAAATAATGCCCTTTAAAATGTCACAAGCAAGCAAATTTTAATTAACCATGAAAATGGAGTTGCAAAGGCTTAAAGTAGCAGCCATGAGCAGGTTATTTACAAGTAAAGACTTCTACACCTTTTCTAATCTCTCAATAAAAATAATCAATTATAGAGTAATGTTCAAGCAGTGGTAACCTCAATAATAGTCTTATAGTGAGTTATTAAGTTTTCATTGATTTCTCATTGCCCTTTCTTCTTACTTCCTTGTAGTTGAGAAAACTTTATGAACAACCACCAGGAACTGAGAATGAAAGAAGAACTTTTAACTAGATTTGCATCATGTTTAGATAATTTCACCATAAGAATAAGATAATTTTACCTCACAAGCAAAAATCAACTTATGTGCAAGTTCAAATCTGTTTTTGAAGAAGCTAATATAAAATAATGTCAGCAAATTAGATTATACATAAACTAATTTTAGTCCACTTAACAAATTACTTTATTTTTTCCATCTTATTTTCTTTTGTCTTATGCGTGTCTACAGAAAAGTTTATCCAAAGAAACTTTGATAATTTAAAAACAAGGTGATGAATGAAATAAACTAACCAACAAAATGACCCCGAAGCTCCATTTTTGGATCTTCCCACCCTCCATATGGTGTTCCAGGAGTTGGAAGACCAGCTGTTTTCCTAAAGCTCCAGAGTAACCTGTCCACATCTAACATCAACAAATACTCTAAGTTTGTGTGTTGTGCCTGAGCATGGATTGAACCTTCATGCAATCTCACATCATGCAGAGACACTTGTTTCAGAAAACCCTGGGGTTGGGGTGGCTTCAATTTCCTAATTTTCCTGAACATCATATCCGAATCATGTTGCTCTTCCTCTTTCAACAACTTCCTTGGAAGCAAATCAGCCCATACGTGGTTGTCATCCTTTGGCTTCAAATCATAATGTGACATTATGCTCCAAGTTTCATTCATGGATGTTAATAACTGGTAACGAAGAGCATGTGATTGAGCATGATTGTTTGTGCACTCTTTACCCGCAGCACAATCCCACAACACAATTGCAACAAACGCAAACAGAAAAGCCATCATCCTCCTGAGAAATTCAAATTAAAATGAACCTTATACTAATTGGTCAAAATATGGGAACAAATTAAAATCATGAAGCATAGCATTATCCTATAGACAACATGAGTTCAAGCAGAGACTAAATGCAATTGAGTCTCAGTAGAAAACAAATAAAATACATAGTTTTTTTTTTTTTTTTTTCAAATTCCCCATTGAACTTTAGAGAAGTAACATAGTGAGAAACATACACGCACTCATAAGATACAACAAAGCTCAACATTTTAAACAAGAAACTCTTAGAAAAGCAGCTTCAAGTGTAGCCAATGAAGAAACATCTTAAATAGAACCATGTCGTGAAAAACAAGACTTAGGACATGGAAATCAGATAGAGAAATTTCAAATTGTAAATAATAGTATGTTTAAATTCTGTAGAGTTTTTTTTTTTTTTTTTTTTTTCCTTTTGCTTTGCACATATACTTTAGTCTTAATTGAGGTGTGATTGGATGTTAAATATGGGCATCTGTGTCAACAAAGATTCATTTCAAAAGCTTGTAATTAATTTAAAGCATAAGGTTTTGGAATTTTGATCCAAACTATAATTTGAAAACTTTTGTTAAATCTTTCTAAACAAGGTCATTCTTTTGCGTGAAGTGATAGTGCGACGTTACCTTTGCCTTCCAAGTTTCATACTTTCATTCTTGGATGGTAACGTTGGAAAGTATGTGAATATGTTATATGTGTACACTCTTTAGTCTTTACCCGCAACACCACTGCACAACAAAGTAGCAACAAACCTGAACTAAAATAACATAATTAGGGATGTCTCATGGATATTCGTTTAAATATAACTTTTTTATAAAGGTAAAAAGATAATTAAAACTAGACTAAAAGCTAACAATTTCAAAACATGTATTTATACATAAAAAAAATTAAACAATTAAAATCATATATTTATATTAAAAATAAAGGATAAGTTAAAAACGTGAGGCATGGTATAAGCAAAGCATTATCCAATAGACAATATGAGTTCTAGTAGAGCTGAAACGCAATGTAAGAATGGAACCCATGCATTAAGAACTTGAATGATAATAAAAAAATTAAAAAAAAAAAACTTGAATGAACTGAATAGAAATGTAATAAAATATATAAATTTTTATTTATTTATTTCCCGATTGAACTTCAGAGAAGTAACAAATTGATAAACACATACTCACTCAGAGTCATAGAACAAGGCTCAATCAACTGGGTATACATATAGACACACACTTAGACAAGCAGTTTCGAGTGCAAAAGGTTCCAGAATTTTGATCCAAACTATTATTTGATTACTCTTTAAAGACAGGTGTTAAATCTTTCTAAACAAATAGTGAAGTGTTTCTTTTGATGTTAGACATACAAAGTCCTGAATAAAATAAAAATATCTTAAAATTCTTCAAAGCATATAATATCTCAAATTATTAGAAGAGTTGTTAATTTTGTTAGCTATTTATATAAAATCATTTAGCATTATTCCTCTAAAATAATATATATTAAAAAAAAAGACGAACATGTGCTAAGTTGCTGGACTGATTAGCTAATGTGGGCTTGAAGCCTTGATGAATTGGACTCACACTCACTAATGCAATTTGGCTGTGGCAGGCTAGCAGCATTGCACAATTATGTATATTTTTACAAAAAATTTCAACTAACTCTTGAATTATCGAAACCATTGGTGAGCTATGCAGATTAGCCATGGGAATTGTGAGAGAACATTTCATCTAACTAACCATTATTTTGCCCATAACTTATGATCAAATTCATAATAAAATGGTGCACAGCTGCTATAAAGGAAATCAAATGATGTATACGGACGGAATAAAAATTACTTGCTTGGTTTATTTATTTATTTATTTTTAACCCGTGAGAATCAAACTGGATATTAAGAAGATTTATGACACTGACACACATATTCAACTAACTGAACTAGATGTCTTGATTGTTAGGTTTGCTTCTGTTAAAATAGGAAATTGATATACATTATCAGTTTATATTGTTAGTACGACATAATATTGTTAGTCTATATATATATTGTGTTTATATTATTAGTTTAATTTCATTATTTTTTTGATTGATTATTTTTTTTATTTTAAAAAAAGCTGAAATCATGGTGTAACGAATTTTTCTCGAATTGTGTCCCATATATTATCTCGCATTTTTTCTTTTCATTAAATAAAGTTTAATTCAGAAAAAAAAAAGTTTATACTAACAAAAAGTATATATATATTTAGCTACTAATGTTATTTTTCGTCAGTAAATATATTTTTTAGTGAAGAATCAATGTCCTTAGAGGGTAAGTTAGATGCATCATTGTTGAAAATGACGGAATAATGGCGCCAAGTGTCGTGGTCACTTTTATATGGAAGAATGATATATACTTTCATTAGTTTTCTGTTTTGACTGCAGAAAACATAATTTAGTTGAATATCGATTTCTTACGGTTTATCGGTTACAAATTGAAGCGTGGACACTTTTCCTTTCCGATTACTTTGACATCCAAAGTTAAAGGTGATTAATCTTTCTTCTAAAAAGCTTGGACTAAATTCTTCCAAGTTATAATTATATACCAACTGCTTTCGGCACTTACCCCTTCAATTATGTAATCATGTTATGATACGAGTGCACTTTTATGGTGTACAAATGAAGACAGAAGGAGTCAGATCAGGAATGAGGGACAATACAATACAATACAAATATACAATAGAGTACAAGAGAAATCTAGGAGATGCATGGAAACAAAGTCATGCATCATGTATAGGTTTTTGTTACTTGGTGATTGCTAGCTGGACGCTAGTTGCTATCCATGCAAACATAGATCCAATGCAAGGGGTGTTTGGGAAGGAGCAATGAAGTGAAGAAAGTGCAAACTACCTTAAACTTGACAGAGGTAGAAGACAAAAGGGTACATAGGTTAAAGAAGCAGTAGGTCCTTGGAACTCAGAAGTGATCTCTTTTCTAAGTTGTAAAACAACACCTGGTACCTTACATGAAGCCAAAAAATGGCCGACACAATACTAGTTCACGTTAGTGCTAGCTACTAGGGAACCTATTCCTAATTTTAGTTCGTTTTCAACATGGCACCAGATTCTCCGCACAATGGACACTTGAGCGAAGTTACCTTATAATTTGTCAGCAACCCAGGAATTGCTCACAATCGCAAATTTAGGGAATCAGATATGCATCATGCATCATGCATCAGAATCGCAAAAATCCCAATTATGAATTATCTACACCCTACGTTTGGAAACTATATATTATTGAAAACTATTTATATTTGACAAGTCCAGCTGGCCATATCTATTTCTCCATATATAGCTCTTTGATAGATATATAACAGTGAAGTGAGAGGATTGCACCATGTTTGGGCACGTGTTAAAGATTTTTTTACTTCTTTTTTTGTGACATAAACTAAAATAGCTAAGAGTTTAATTTGAAATCAAGTATTAAACTAAAAGAGCTCTGCCACAATTGATTCAGAACTTTGTGGTATGTGTTAAAGAATTATAACTTCAGTATCTCATTATTATGTATAAAGACTTTATTTGATAACAAATCGCCACTCTTCACGGGATAAACAGTGTTATTAATTATATATCCTGATGACTAGCTTCTTTTTGAATAAGATGGTGCCACTTAGAATTAAAATAACTAACTGGTCCTACAAAAGCTTTGTTCTCAAAAGAGAGATGCCTTTAGTACTTTCCCAACTGAAACAATGCATCAATAAGCCAAGGGGTATCAAAAACCCATCCATGTACCTCAAAGATCATGCTAAATACAACTACAAAATAAATACTAAAACTAGATCATGGTCATATGAACTTTTAGTACTTTACAGACACAACCTAAAACAACAAAAGAGGAAATTTTCAACACCCGTGATTTTGAATAATTCGCACTCAATGCAACTTGAAGGTCGCATCAATAATTCTTTTAATTTTCATGGCAGTTTCTTGGGTCCAAACAATAATGATCATGTAATGTTTGGACAAGATTGATCCATTGATCATATAGTGGGAATACCAACTGTACGGATAGGACTCAGAGTTGAGATATTATAGACAATTTTTTGTAGAATTTTAAATAAAAATAAAAATAGCACATCACTGGTTATAAAGCCAGTATTGATTTTCTAATTTTTTGTACCCTTTGTTACTATTATTTGATGTCGATTATTGGTCAATGTTTTGCAAATCTAAATGAATGAAAGTGGAAATTAAAATTTGGTTAAAAGATCCCCAATCTAATACATTTCCCTACCAAAAAAAATGTTAATTTGGCTTACTTGTCCAATTCTCACAATCTTGGATGGTCCCTTGGAAGCAACTCCTCATCCCCTTTGTTACTGTTGTATATTATTAGTCATGCAGTTTGTTTGAGATTCAAAAACACTCAGTACATGATCTAGTCTAGGATCACCACCACATCCCATGATTATGGTCTTAAACAATATCTATAGCACTAAACTGGAATTTTCGGTTTATGAAAAGGAATTGATAAATTTTAAGCATATATAATTAAATCACGTAGAAGTTCATTACAACCATCGGTGGTGGTCGAGGACTAGTTAATAATTTCTCCAGAAACTCACCATACAATCATCTTCCTCAAGTTACCGATCGACCATGAAGCAAACACGTGAAACGCATGAAAAGGATATCAGAGTGTGTATATGCATGTGAAACTTATCAAAAAGATTTCACGTATAAACAACCGTATTGTACAATTCTATCTTCGGTTTTTATCTATACATAACCAGTTCCTTCACGTTCTAGCGTTATTAATTCCCCATATAGACAGATATTTCAAGAGTTAAAAGAAAATAAGGCCTCGCACGTGCGTCAGAATTCCGGCAAAGAAACATTTTTCTGAAACTCATCAAAGGACGGTGACGGTGACGGTAACGGCGACGGCGGAGATTTCAATCTCTGAAAGTAGCCCCTTATGTCGAGTCCAGCGGCGAAAGGGTCAACGTCGTCCCGGGACGGAATAAACGGCGGGCGCATGACCTCCGTTAGTAGGTCCCACCTGACCCCTCTGAAGAACTCGTGCTCCATGATCTCGGTAGCGCCGCGAACGTAACCCAAACGCGCGGTGGGGTCCTTTTGAAGCAACCGTTCAATGAGGTCCGTCAGCGCCGTCTTCCTCCCCACGAACTCCGGCGGCTTCAGAAGCACGTTTCGGAACGTTTCCTTGCGGTTCTTCCCCTTGAACGGCGTCGTCCCGTAGAGCATCTCGTAGGTGAGAACCCCCAGGGCCCACCAGTCCACGGCAAACTCGTGCCCGTCGCCGCGCACCACCTCCGGCGCCACGTACTCCTCGGTGCCGACAAACGAGTTGGATCGCTCGCCGTCGCAAAAGCTGGGCTTGCGGCGAGTGACGGGGCTGACGCGGGCGCACTTGGAGGTTGTGTTAGTGTTAGTCTTCCAGAGGAAGTTGCGGCGGGTTTTGTTGAACGACGTTTTAGGCCCCGTAACGTTGGTTATATAGTCTGTTTTGGGTGTGTGATTATTCGGTGTGGGGCTTTTGATAGTTTTGGGAGTGAGGGTTCGGGAGAGGTCGAAGTCGGTGAGGGTGACGTGGCCGGATTGCTGGACGAGGACGTTTTCGGGTTTGAGGTCGCGGTAGGCGATGCCGATGGAGTGGAGGTGGTGGAGGGCGGAGAGGATCTCGGCGACGTAAAAGCGGATGACAGCGGGGGAGAAGACGTGGTCGGTTTGGCGGTAGCGGAGGACGTTGAGATCGCCGCCGGGGCAGTATGGGAGGGCCCAGCCCATTAGATTTTGGAACTCGAATGAGCCCAATAAGGAGGGAAGGAAAGGGTGGGATAAACGTGATAGGACGTTGATTTCCCAGCGTGCTCGGCGGGGTGCGTCGTGGAGGCAGCTTGACTTGTCCACCACTTTCACTGCCACGTGGCTGTTTTTGTGTTGGACGAGGAACACCGTGCCCATGGCTCCTTTGCCTAACACTTTCAATGCTTTTAGGTTGTTTAGGTCCAACTCCTCCCCCATCTTTGCCTTCCTAATTCCTATCTATGCATGCGTTCGCCTTTTATACCGTTTTTCCACTCTTGTTTTTAGTCGTCAACTCATGGGCGTGTGTGTGAGTAACTCATCCTCACACTATAACTCAATAATTAATTATATTTTTTTCCTAATATTAAATTAATTCTCGTGTATTGTAATTATTAATTAATTGATGTTTATCCTTGATAAAGTCACTGTGTCTCATTCTTTGTCTCTCTCAGTCTTACCGTGGCTCAAGGAATATGCTATTAGTATATAACCATCTTATTTTAAAAGATTAAAAAAAAATTGTAATGGAACAATTGTACAAGATAATTTTCCTGTTGAACTTTCACTTTTTTTTCTTCTTGGAATTAAAAGATGAGTAATTACTACATGCCTTATATTTTATATGAATATTTTTAAATTAGGTAAATTTAAAATTATAAATAAAATATTTAAAATTATAATGAAGTATTTCAGTAATGCAAAATGACATATAAGTTTTTATAAATTGAGTATAATAATTGATTAGGTATTTTTAAGAGGATATACTTTTAGTTAAATATAAAGGTAGATAAGAAGGAAAATATTGTATTTACCTTAAAACAATTGTAGTATATTTTTTTTATTCATACATTGTAGTTTACCTCTTGCTATCCTATAAGTTACTTCCAAAATGTTAACAAAAAAAAAAATTGAATACAGTTATAGTATGCAAAGTTTATATATATACATATTCATTTTATTATTGATTATTATAAATGATAATAATGTTGGCTTTTGACAAATTTAGTTTTAGAAATATAGTTGAATTAATTTATAATTGGTTAACAATGTATCATATATAAACCTAATTTTTTAAAAAGAAATTAAGATTCCAATACAACTCACTATTTTACCTTTCGGCATCTATAAACTTTATAAGAAGCATTGCCAAATACTAGATGTAAATATTTCTCTTCTAAACAAATGTAAACATATCTTATAAATAAATTTTGAACCTTGATTCATCTCACATTGTGAAAGATTATTAAATCTCTTGTTGATTATTATTTCTTTTCTTGTTAATTAGCTAAAAAACCATTTTCACATTCTATTTAATTTTATCTATTTTATATTTCATCTCTTTTATTTGAGTTTTAAAATACGATACTTGCCTAAATTAGTTTATTTAAATTAATGATTATTTTCTATAAAATATATAGATATTTAAAAAATAATTATATCCTCATAATTGAACTAAATCGAAAGAGTAAACAGTGTTAAATAATTAATCAATATTCATCTCCTTAATCTTATTCGTCCATTTAAAAAAAAATACACGAGTAACTGGGGAGATATCACATATATTATATATAAAGTTTCTTATATAATTTAATAAATAGTGCACAAAGTGACCTAGCTATATATAATCATCATTTTTTGTTTTTTGTTTTTTGTTACAAGCTATGTGCATCAGTTATCGCCACAAGTTGTGCACAATACATTACTAAAATGGAACATGAAAATATCAATCGATTGACAACAACTTGATTTCCAGCTTTCGTTTTGATCGGTTGCTACTTGTAACTTCTATTGTTTTGCTGAATTGCTACTTCTAACTATTAGATATGAGAAAGGCAAAGTGAAACTGTTCTATTACACTGGCATTTAATATTCTATTATATTAACTTTCTTACACACTTTTTTTTTTTTTTATATTTTAGCTAAAAAATCAAAGACAAATCTAATAAAAGCGCGAAGACGACATTCGTATTTAATATGACATTATTACTCCATTAAAATATGACGTGACATTTCATATCTATGCATATCTTTTGATTTATGAAGATAAACTTAAATAGTTATTATTTTATTAAAGTCCTAAAAGTAATAGATTGATAATATGTTAATGTTGGTGTGCATTTTTGTAATGGGGGAGGGGAGGCTAGCTCCTTGATTTGCATAAGAAAGCAGATGAGTGGATGGTCACACGTGTGAGACAGAAGAGAAGCAAAGAAAGAGTGATCCAGTAATACTGTAATTAGTGTCGAAGAAAATGACAAAAACGAATTGGCCGTACGTTAGTCACATGGGAGCACCCTTATTCTAAGGAGAACGTGAACGTGAACGTGCACCCTATGGCATCGCTTCATGTTGGAACCTTGTCACCTTATCATTTACCAATATCCATTCCTTTAATTAATCAAACACAACACTTCACTTACCCTATTCCTCACGCTCCGTTTAATTCTTAATTCTCTCAACAAATCATGTAAGATTTTGCCCTCTGTGTTCCGCATATTAAATTCACTTTTCATTCATGAAATTTAGGTACATATATTATTTATTATTTTTGGACTTGGATCAATTCTTTTGTATTTATCGGCTCCATTTGTAATTATACGTGAATTCTTCTTTGAAAACTTCTCTTTATTTCAGTAACTTTTAAAAGCATTTCTAACTTGTATTAAATAGACTTTCTCCAATATTTTAATTTGATTGAATAAGCTCACCAATTATCATCTTGGAATGCGAATGAATTTGTTGCCTCGTGATGAACTATAATCACAAAAATAGAAGAGGGAGACTGTAGCTAGCAAAGTAACAAGGGACAAAGCAATAATTAATGGAGTTTCACTTGTTCAACATTAATGTTCCTTAGGTAAGACACTACATAGGTGGGAATTTGTAAATGGGTCGTGTACTTAGTACCAAAAAAATCATTAAATAATCTGGAGGAGCCATTGGCATGTTGGTGGTCAATTAGGTGGGTGATGCTGAATTAGTCATGGCTTCATTGTCAAAAGTGTGGGCTTTATGCCAACATAAAAGATGTTGAGATATAAAAGATGGCATATAAATTAGAACTTAGTCTATGGTTAAAACAAATGATGGTAGACAAGTGGAGGACAAAATGATTATGCTTCCAATCCTTTAACATTGTGAATTGACAATATCCTTTTGATTTGCAAATCTTCCACTCCAAACTGTACGAGCTTAAGGAGAAAGAAATAGCCAAGGAACCACACGTATAAAACAAGTCACTAATTCATCAAAAAAAAATTTGTAGTCCATTGATGACGACTTAATTAAAAAATAACGTGGAATCGTGATTTGGGTACAAGTTAGGTGATCTTCCGTTGGATCAAATCCTTGATAGCATCTTCCACCAACTGCAAAAAAAAGGTGAAGAAAGGAGTAGAAAAATGCTTCAACCTAGCTAGTTGGTGGTTTCAATTCACATTCCTTCAAATGCCTTATGATATATTAATATATATTCTTTATTCTATTATGATAGTGAGATTATGATTCCAAAGTAGGTTATCACCACACCCTTCGTATATGGCTAGATGCTATTTGAATTATAACGACCGGGCCTTATAAAATATTTATTTAGAGATTCTCTACCTTGATTTTAGCCCATCTTTTCTTCACAAATCATTTTGAAGAAGGCGGAAATGTATGATTTTCCTATGAGGAAACATCTTTCATTTGAGGAAATTGAAAGAAAACATGTAATTATTATTATTTAAGTTAAAAGAAATAAAAATACTAATGAAGAAAACCTTCCGATTGGGAAGAATAGTCAGTATCTCAAGTTAAAATTTCTATCTTTATAATGTGCTTAATTCAAAAAAAAAAATGGTTGTTTAAACTTGAAAGAAGTGTTTTTAAATAAGTATATTTTAAAAAATAAGTAGGAGTTGTTTCTTCTAAAAAAAATTGCTTATTTAAAAAAAAAAACTTAAACAAACACATCAAAAAACATATTTTTATTTTTAAAAAAAATTCTAAAAGAAAAAGTTTAAATTAACATACTTGTTATAACTCAAACAAGATGTTAAATGAGATAAGGAAATATAGTTTTGCTCAAAAAAATGTCACTTTAATCAAATAATATTTTTGAATATTCTTTATCAATTTAGAAACTAAAAATGAAATCAACTTTTGAATGGTCTTAGCTTATGTACTTTTTAAAAAAAAATATATTAAAGAAAGTATAGGAACTCATATAAATATAGAGTTAACTATTAATTCCTTTTATGCTTTTTAGTGGGATTACATATTATCTATCCATTATTTATGGACATAAGCTTGCATAAAAAATAGAAAATATTAAAAAAAATTAGATTCAATACTAAATCTTAATTAGAAGATAAAAATTAACCATACAAAATTGTATATAAAGAACATGAATTTATGATCATAATAATTTCAACATAAAATACTACGATTATATAATTTTGATTCATAATATCATATTAGTATATCAATGTCAAATCAATACACATGTTAATGCCATATTAACATGTGTTAAATTACCACATCAACCCATATAAATGTCACATTATCAGCAAAGTTTTATGTTAGTAATTTTTATTTAAAAAATGATTAAAAAATGATAGATTAACATTGTTAAATTAAAAAAAATGTACAAAATAGATGTAAAGCTATAAATATCAAAAGTAAATTTAAGCCAAGAGAAATTTATGTTAATATGAAGGTTGACTAAATTGTAGTATATATTGATTTTTTTAATGTAATATTTAAAATAATTTAAAAAAATATTATATATTTTAGCTACTTCATAAAATTAAACAAGAATTATATATATATATATATATATATGAGAGGTTTATAATTACACTGGTGTAATTTTTACTAAGTATTATACTACTCAATAACTTTATATTAAATATGAATTTTGTAAATCCAATCATTAGACTGAAAGTTTATATCACTTTATACGTGTATATCAAATTTTGTCAAAACTGAACAATAATTAACTTGAAAGTAATCAAAGTGTTCATATTTTAATGTATTTTTAAATGAATATATTACGTCAATTTTGTTTTATAAAAATGAAGTATCAAATCATCTTGGATTAATATAAAATCTTGTATGTATGTTCTAAGAGATATGAACTTTCAATCTAACGGTTAGATTTACAAAATTCACAATTAATATAAAGTTATTGAACAGTGTAATACATAGTAAAAGTTACACTAATGTAATTATAACTCTCATATATGTGTAACTTTTAACAAAATTTGATATATATAATCTAAAAGATATAAACTTTCAATCTAACGGTTAAATTTTCAAAATTCACATTTAATATAAAGTTATTGAGCGGTGTAATATTTAATAAAAATTACACTGATATCGTTTATATATATATATATATACAAAATAATAATATGATTTACCCTGCTTTTGTATTAACTCCTATAGATTTTCATCATATCCCTCGATTGTGGCCCTTTTAGATCAAATACATTATTGATATGACCATTTAGAGGGGCTTTCATGTATCTTTTGCCAGAAAAAGAAAAGGAATAATTAAATTGAGTTTGTTTTATAGCATCATAAACTACACATAGTTTATATACTTAATTTTGATCTGACTGATGACTGCATACACGTGGAGGGAAACCTTAGAGCTTTACGAGTCATGATGAATGAGTAGGCAGCATAAACCATTGCACGAGCTTTATGGCTTTGCTTTACTAGTTCTCTTTTATTCTTCTGGGTTTTATATTTAATTATTAATTTTATAATTGTGGACATTGATGTCAAACGAATTTCAAGCTACTATGCAATTATTAAAAATACTTTCAAAAATTATTTACTAATAATTTATCATTTCATTATTTTTTTAATAGAAATTAAATTATCCCCTAAAAAAAATAGAAATTAAATTATTAATATAACCATTTCAACTCTACACAACAGTAAAATAATTTTATTAAAATGTACTATTGATATTTGTTAGATTTAATCTCATTCATTATCCTGTATAATTTTTACATCGTGCATCAATAAAAAAAAATAATTACATAATTTTTTAAATAATTATTATAAAAATTAACCATTTTAACGTAATGCTGATTTATTATCAGACAATATTAATGTCTAACTTTTTTTTTCATATATTTTTAGTATCATAAATAATAAATATTATGTTATTCAGATAAATAAACAGACACATGCTACTATGCGAATATATGGCTTTGAAAATAGTGTAATAATTTTTATAATTTTTTAAATTTAAGGTAAATTTATTTTCAATTTCTTAAATTTAAAAATATTATTTTTAACTCCTATAATTTTTAAATATCTTATTTTAATTTCTCAAATCATCAATAACATATTTGAATATGATAGATTAAGATAGTTATATAACATCAATTGAGTTTATTATAATATTTTTGTTAACAAAAAATATTGATAGATAAATTTTATACAATAATATTTAATAAATTTTTAAATAAAATTTAAGGATTAAAGAAAATATTTTAAAATTAAAAAGACTAAAAAAACTAATTTTAAACTTAAGAGACTAAAATTAAATTTATCTTAAATTTGAGAAATTAAATATTTTTTAAGTCGCTAATTTTGCTTTTAATGCATCATCTTAGCACACAACATGGGTCGGAATTGGGTTGTGCAGCCCAAGGTTATATTCGGGTCCATACTTATAAGGTTGATGATATATATACCTCATTTTTTCCTATAAGTACATCTCTTTTTTAAAAAAAATATAATTAAATTTTTAAAATATTCTTAATTTTTTATTTTTTATTTTTTAATTTTACATCCATAACATTTATTTTAGTATTTTTTTCACACATCTTTCTTTCTTTTTTCAATTTTTACATGCACCTCTTATCTTTCCTTCACTCCACCTATTTTGGTAGGATGTGAAAACTAAAAAAGAAAGTGTGTAAAAAAAAAGAAGAAAGTAGCAAATTAAAAGTTGAAAGTGTAAAATTTAAAAAATTAAAATATATATATATATATATAAAATTTTATGATTTAAAAAAATAAATAAAAGAGGTGTACTTATAAAAAAAAAGGAGGTGTATATATATATCATGAGCCTACTTATAAACAAGCTTGGCAAGGCCCAATGATATATACACCTCCTTTTTTTTTTATAAGTACACCTCCTTTATTATTTTTTTAAAAAATTATAAAATATTATAGTTTTTTTTTTAATTTTCTAATTTTACACCTTTAACTTTTAATTTGTTATTTTCTTCTTCTTTTTCACATACTTTTTTTTTCTTTTACTTTTCACATGCTACTAAAATAGGTGGGGTGAAAGAAAGGTAAGGGAGTGCATGTAAAAATTGAAAAAAAGATAAAAGATGTGTAAAAAAAATATTGAATTAAATGTTGTGGATGTAAAATTTAAAAATTAAAAATACAAAAATACAAAATACAAAATTAAAAAATTAAAAATATTTTAAAATTGTAATTATTTTTATAAAAGGAGGTGTACTTGTAGAAAAAAGGAGGTGTATATATAATGAACCGAACAAGAGCGAAGACATTACTTGGACTCAGCCCAATGGGCTAAAAGCCTTCGGTTCTTGCTGAACGGCGCAACTAGACTTTGACCAAAATCATGAAATCTGTGAGCGGAGATACCAGTGGCTGTCACAGAGCCTCCGATTAGGGCAACTTCGCACTCCTTTTAATCATTCATTCTATCTTTTAATTCTCTGCAACATTCTTCGTTTTCGTATTCGGTACGCTCCCAATTTTTTTATACCTCATTTCAATTATCTGTAATTTCTATTCATAACTATGTTTCTTTTCGATCTACCTCCATAATTGTATTGTTTCTAGCTAATTCCTTTATTATTCTTGGACCATAGGTTTTGATTCTTTAGCTATTAAATTTAATTTCTTTGATGCTATTACCTTCTGAATTGAACAAGCTTGATTTCATGAATTGATGAATTTTTCATTTCCCATGTCAGATTGCATTGCTTGAGTGAAATTCCCAATTTATTAGCTGCTAAACCCTAACTCAGAACTTTGGTGTGTGGGGTTTTGACTTAATTGAGTGAAGAAATAGCATAATGGTGAAAGCTTATAGACAGGAACACGTCTATAAGCACCCTTGGGAAAGGAAAAATTCAT